GAATTTTAAACGCTTCGCGTCGTCCGCCTCGGCCCGGCCGCAAACAAAGAAGGCCAACGAACTGCTGGTGCTGAAGGCGCCGTTGGCGGAGCGGATGAGTGGAAGGGGAGGAGATTGCGTTCGGCGGCGCATCGATGCGCCGCAGAAGCAGAAGGAGCAGTCTAGGGGGGGGGCCAAGTGCCCATCGCGGGCCCTTGAGATGGCCAGCGACAAGCCTGCACCGCAGATCACACACGACCCTCAGGGGGGCCTCAAGATCTCAAAGAAGCACGCCGAGCTAGAATGTGATGTGCGAGGAGAATTGCGCCCTCGCGAAGCATTCACTCGTAGGGCCTTGGCCTTTGACCAGATTGGCACACTTACATGTTCGATGCTGTCACTCGCGATCCTCCTGCCGGGCATAAGTTCACTAGCATCGCCCAGGCCCTGAACGCTCGTCGAGAAGTATGGCGGATTTTCGGGGTTTAGGGTTTGAAAAATCTGTCTCCCATACGTTCAATCAGGTACGAGTACCCGAGATGGAAAAGGGAAACAAATGCGCAGTGCCATCGCCTAACGAAGGGGAGATGTTTAGAATGTGAAATCAACCGGCATCGCCTAATGAAGGTGCCTAAACCCTAAACCCTGTAGACCCTAAATATCGAGTCCCACTACACTCAAAAAAGAGCCCTAAATGTCACAGGAGCAGCGGGACCACTAAAAACTAAACCCTAAACCCTACCAGGTGCCCTCCTTGCGTAATTTCTGGGTAAGCCACAACATAACAGCTTGGAACTGCTGGCTGCTGAGCAAGTTATCTTGTCGGAGTGATATCAGTAAGAATATCAATAACAGAAACTACTAGGAATAGTAATTCGAATAATAATATGACTAATACTACTAATAACAATATAACAGTCATGACGACAGTCATAGTAATAATAATTATAACAGTTCTAGCCATACTAATAGTAACAATAATGTAATGACAATAATTGTAACAATAACCTCCTAGGTATTTCGGGTCACGGACACTCCTATCGTCCACTCTGGTGACTACCATTTCCACTTCGACAAGAATGCTCTTGACGGCCTGGGCTGCCAAGCTGCAAGAAGCCACCGAGCCTTCAAACGCGTCCCCATTCAGGGTTTAATTGGGTTATTAAGGTTTGCCTTGGTTTTATCTAAGGACTTGACAGGTATTTTTGAGGAACTTCATCAGTGTTTCATTCCCTAAACCCTAAACCCTAAACCCTAACCCTAAACCCTAAACCCTAAACCCTAAACCCTAAACCCTGACCCTTATTGGGCTTGCTGGATGTAGGCCACAGGTTCGGACTTGCGGAGGGGTCTGGGAGCCTCGGGTTCTGGGAACGGATCTTCTGCATGTGCGTAATGTAAGGGGCCTTAAGAATTAGAGTAGGGGTTTTTAGGGTTTCCCTTAAAGGGCTCCTTAAAGGGTTCCATAAGGGCTACGACAAGGGTTTAGGGTTTAGGGGCCTTCATAATTAGATTAATAATGATAATACGGGTTTTTAGGTTTCCTTTAAAGGGTTCCTTTCACGGGTTTCTAAAGGGTTCTATAAGGGCTACTGTAAGGATTTAGGGTTTAGAGGCCGTAATAATTAGAATAGGGTTTTTAGGGTTTCCTTTAAAGGGTTCCTTTAAAGGGTTTCTCAAAGCGTTCCATAAGGGCCACTATAAGGGTTAAGGGTTTGGGGGGCGTAATAACCAGAATAGGGTTTTGGGGCCCATTATGCTGTAATTGTAGTAAGGAAACCCCCAAAATAGTATGGGTAATGAATAAGGCCCCGCTATTAGTTCTCTCAATCAGGATCCTTTGTGGGGTCCTTTTTATATGGGTGGCCGGATTACAGTAGAAGCCCAACAGTTGGAAACCCAATAGCCTCAATCCTTAAGAGTAATGTATAGGGAACCCAGCATTATTTGTCCCTTATCCGGTTTCCAACTTTTTGGGGCTTCCTATATATTTGGGACAAAAAGGGACCCTAAACCCTAAACCCTAAACCCTAAACCCTAAACCCTAAAGCCTTATTTAGAGAACTACCCATGTGGGGCCTCGAGCAGGATGCTCTAGCGCTGTGTGGTCTCTACTCTGGCATTGCTCGCCTGCTCTAATGTAAGGGGCCGAAAAAACTATTTTTTGGGGTTTGTGTGTATGTATCTCCTATATGCCTTCGTAAGTACTTGGGACCCTTTGAACTTTTCAGATTTTGTGTGTGTATATATATATATAACACATATTTATATATATATATATACATCCCCTATTCCTGTGTAAGTTCTTAGAACCCTTGGTCTAGGACATTTTCAGGTGGGTAGTTACCGTCATAGGAGCCTTATAGAAGGTCTATATACCTTATGGAAGCCCTATATACCCTAAACTCCCCACCTGTAGTTTCCTTTAACTAAACCCTGAACCCCTAAACCCTAAACCCTAAACCCTAAACCCTAAACCCTACTAGGAGCCTTATAGAAGGTTTCCTTTAACTTGGTTGGCCAAGGATATTTGATCCCCTTTCCGCTGGCTCGCCCGGCGAACTTCGGGGAGCCAGGCGGATGCAGGACTTCGAGGGTGCCTTCTTCTTACAACAGTCAGGGAAGTATTAGGGTTTAGGGTTTTAGTGTTTTAGGGTTTAGGGTTTTAGGTTTTAGGGTTTAGGGTTTTGGGTTTTAGGGTTTAGGGTTTTAGGTTTTAGGTTTTAGGGCTTAGGGTT